GGTGCTTCAGTTGTATCATGTGAATTTATTAATTGATAAATGTCGTCATAGCTACTGTGCGCACCAACCAGAAGAGTGATGCATGCCATCATAAGCGAAAAGGGCATCCTACGATCTCCTGTGTCTACCATATATTCGTTCATGTACTAAAGTTATTTTATTTCAGAAAATCGATCAGTTTAACTACCTCAGCTCCATCCACTGTGCCAGCTAGTTCGAGTTAAATTTGAAGCTTGCTTTAGGTTCCGCTGGTTTCGTTAGTCCGTCCAATATACTAGTTAGTAATCGAATATTTACTTGGAAAAGCAGCTTCCCTTTTTGCTCAGTCAGATTCGTATGACAGCTTGTTCCAAAATACCCCGATACTGATGGTTGATCAACGTAGCAGCATTGTGTTGGATTCAAATTAAGGCTAAATTGAGTTGTAGAGTACTAGTAATGCTGAGATTACAGTAATAAGTCGTAGTTACTTTCGAAAACTCACACAGACTTCACGCTTTCTACCCTGGTTCAAGAGATTCTTTACTGAAGTAAGCGTCTTCTGAATGTCAGTATTTATATTTATTTAATTACAAGCAAATGTCGAACTCTTCACTGTTCTAATACACATGGTTCTCAGCGTGACAATTCTAATGTTTGTTTATTTCGATTTTTCGGCTTCAGACGGAGAGGCCATCATTAGGGACTGTTGCATCGTTGTGAAATATTCATACGTTACTACAAATGTTGTATTAAGCACCAGAAATGTTTTTTTAATTGGAAAGCTCTAAACTCACAATATATCCAACCTCCTGCTCCCTCAATCAAATTTTACATGCTCTGTTAGCAAGCCATGAAGAACAGCAATTCAATGGATGAATTTTCAAACATGTTATACAAAGGAAAGCCTTTTTACCGATGTAAATGAAAACATCGCTGTTCTGTTTTCATTTAACCAATTTCGTTCTGTATCTACGTTTTCGGTCCCTCCGCCAATCTGATAGCGTGCTTTCGCATTCACTATGGTACATCCATTGCTTTGATGACTGTTGCCAACTCATCAGCACTTAGACATAGGCTTCTCTCTTCTCACAATAACCATTGCGTGCGCAGCCTGTTTGAACCAATAAAGCTCTCTACGTATTCATGCATATGCAGCAGCATTTATACTTTAAACTTAACAATATTTTTCTTAAGAATTTCACCAAGCTGAAACCGCCAGGTTAAAAGAGAATAAACTGTGATGCAGGGAAACATGCACGCCGTATTGTAATGATTGTCCAAAACCTCATTTAGTTAGTGGAACGTTCCTGCATGAGTCCAATGATGTTGCACTCACAGTCAGATCGATGACCCTCGCACAAAAGACCGGAGATGAGCCGAGATAAGATCCGGCATAGGAAACCGTATTTTTTCTTGTTTGGATAGCGCAATTCTCAGATATTTTCCATACATGACGTGCATCAAGTGATTTGCTAATACGTACCAATATTACAAGAGGTAAATTTTTAAAATAGTAATATTATGATCATAGACGCAATTTCGTACAACGGAGTGTGTTTAATGGTACAATTCCTCAGAGACCAGATGTTGCATCGTACTGCACTGAGTTGCCTTGGGAGGCCATTTATACAGGCTACGAGTATAACCTTCTGCACCGCAGTCACCTGACGCTTATCATGAACGACTTTTCAAGAGCTGGTAGTATCCTTACATGCCACCGTACATATCTCTAAGTACGTTCGTGATTTTGGGCATGTTAACAACGTGTGACTCCTCTCTAAGATCAGATGAGTTTCCTAGGGGAACCGTTAAAGCATTCGCGGTCACATGATATATAAATACCAGCAGCCACAGAAACATCTCTCGTCATTTTGTTCGCTGCAGCTATTTCGAGTTCGTCTATTACAAACGATGTTTCAGAAACTGGTAATCGTTATGTGCTCCTTCATAAACATTAAGCAATTTTCGTACACAGAAGAATGAAAAATCCGCCACTGGAGGACCACATGCGCATGGTGAGGGTTAAAAATGGGCTTGAAAATAGTTCATCCGATTACGGCTGAGAATGTTGCAGACGATTGTGGTTTAACCTAGATCTAAAGACTGGAAAGCCTCATCGTTTACCTTACACATTTATGTTGTAACGTAGATTAAAAAGTAGTTCTAAATCACTGGCGAGTATTTTGCTGTGAATTTAAACATGAGCATTCTTAAATTGTTGCAGATCGTTTCACATGGCTCATCGGAGTATCCACTAACCACATAGTAATCATTCTTCGATGAAGCACGCCTTCAGTCGCCTAGAAACCAAGGTGAACTACGCCCTTGGTAAGATCGAGAAAACTGAATACGATGAGCGATTGAAATTTGGCATGAAAAAGTTTGAAAAGTTGAAGGAAGAAACGAACCAAATGAAAACTGCCATTAAGAATATGTTACCTAAAGACAGGGAGCAAACAAAAATCGAGCATCTGGCTGAAACCCTCAGCCGTATAGCAGGACAGCAGGAATCTGGAACAAAGCTTGCAAAGATACAGGAGAAGTTTGGAGAATGCACGCTAAACATAGGCAAAGAGGAACGTCAGATGGCCAGAACTGTTGACTCTAAAACTTTGGCCGGATTGGATGGATTGCTGAAAGTCGAATTTAATGCCTACAAGAAAAAGAAAGACCAACTGGAAAAGGCAAGGGTTGATATGGACCGTCTACATGCAAAGGTTATGCGCACACCCTCAGATGATCCCAACTACCGTCAACTTAAGGTAATTAAAACAGTCAATCAAGAAATGGTGTTGCAAACGGATATTCGGGACGTGAGTAGAAAATGCATGAATTCTAAGTTATGGCAGCCAGAACCTCTGATTTCATGTTAAATGCGAGCTTCTTTGAGCATGGCATTCACCAGTTTCCCTAATTGGGACGACCAAGCAAAATGCAAGCATGACTTCCATTCTAAGCCATCTCAAGAGTGTTAAATCCTATTTTGGTTTAGTCATGCAAGAACTTTGGAGACATTCATGGCTAGCGAAGGAAGGTGCAGTGAAGCAGTCTTTATGATCGTTCGGCTTTG